AATCAACGTGGTGTTGATAATATTGAATCACAAGGTGAAAAATTATTTATTCCTGAAATACCTGAAATTATTGAAATGTATGAAAAATATTTTACTAAGCGTCCAGTTCAAGCAAGCTCAAATTTTTATTTGAAACCATGCAATATTTAATGAAAGTAAGTATTAATATAAATAATTTTAATTAGAATTTATATTTTATTAAAATAATTATTTTTAATATAGTTGAATTCAATGGACAATGGTATTATAAAGACCGGGTTTCTGAAAAAAACTTAAATTATTTATGAAACAAATAGCTACCTATACGGGTATTAATTTGGATGATCGTAAAATTAGTAATAATTCAGGACGAAAAACTCTTGTTCAAATATTAAAAAGGTTAAATTTTTCTAATACCGAATGTATGGCAAGTTCAAGACATAAATCTGAACAAGGTTTGGCAAGATATGAACAACCAGAAACTGAAATGCAATATAATAATGCAATGAAACTTGCTCAAACATTTGGATTAAAACTGCAGTTAATTATAATGAAACAAGTATGTTTATATATTTTATACTTCTAAAATTATTAAAATATTAATTCTATTATTATTATACAAATAGCATCAACAAATTCTTTATTGACTTCAAATCCCTTATTATCTTCAAACTATACTACAACAATGCAAGATAGATTAATATTAGCAAAGTCATTTATTAATGGTAAATTTCATATTATATATTTTTTTTATTATTATTAAATTAAGAACTATTAATTTATTTTTTAAAAAAAATAGATATAAGTACAATTATTGATATTGCAACAAATAATTCTAATGATAGAGATTTATTTCCGCAACCACTACAAGAATTAAATAAAATTCAATTCAAAAATGACTGCCGATAAAGTTTTTATTAATTCTATAATTATTTTTAATAATTCTAACGCTAATAATTGACGAATGTAATTATGTATTTTATTACTAGCTTAATTTATATTATTATATAGTTTATTATCGATATAAAAAGTTTAATTTGTAGTTTATTTGTGATATTACAAAAAATATTAAAAAACAAGGTCGTCTACATCATATTGGTGAGCACGATAATTTTGATTATTTATCAACGCAAGCACAATAACTTATAATTAAAGAAATATTTTTAAATTTTAAAAGAATCTTAATCTTTAGAGGAATGTAGTATATATACTTTATCGCATAATTATATTTATAGTGCATTTTTTTAGGCATAATTTTGTTTATAATATTAATTTAAAATGTATTTTTTTTAATTATTATAAGAATATACAATTTAAAATTTAAGCACGTTATACATCGATCACTTTTATGATTTTCGCCGCGGTGTGAGGCCATCTGAGGCGCAGTACTAACCAGTTGGTTCCAATCTCTAAAATAGTAAAGTTTGTTTTTCTTTTATTTATTATTTAGATTTGATTATGTCGATAAAAATAAAAGATAGGTCATTTAACTTTATTATTATTATTATTTTTTTTTATTTTGAGATTTCACTTTCGGGTTCGATCGCTTCGAGGGTTGTTACATCGAATATATAATTGACAGCCAATTAAAGTAAAATCTTGGACAAATAAATTTAGTAAACAATTATAGCAAATAGTATCGTTATTGAATATTAAATATGTGTGGAATAATGTAACTGTTAATAAGGCAACCAACTAACATTCTCACGCGTGAAAGATCTTATAGATAACGTATTTATATTTATTCCTAAAACAGCGTCAAAATAAGAGCCAAGGTGAGTAACATTTGTTACCACCAAAAAATTCTGACTTTTCTGTTTATCCTTTGTAGGTCCTCTATTAATTGAAGAGGGAGATATTGTCGTCATTCATAAAAAAGGGAAATAACATTAGAAGATAATACTTGTATTAAATGACATAATTATTTCCGTTTTTATTAAGGAAAGAAAAAAAAATATATAATTATAACCGGTCAAGTACATACTACTTTTGAAATAAAAATTGATTTTTTGTTACTGTATTAAGCAGATCGCCAGTTTGTATACGATTATTTTACAATTATTATCTGAAATGTGTAACTTATCACGAACCTTCCTGTTATATGTGAGTCTTTAACTCACAATTTTGCACCAATTGTCGTAACCAGAAAAAATTGATAAACTTATTGAAAGACGAAACTGTATTTCATAAAATGAGTTTTGTCCCGCAATTATAATTTGCATGTAGTCATACGAAGAGGAAAGAAATTATTATTATAAATTAAAGCGTAGTAATCTTTCCTATGAAAAAAAAAATTCTGGAATTTATCCAGAATTTGCCGTAGTATCCAGATAATGTCCGGAATCCGCCATGTTTTGGTACACTTTCCGGACGATTATGACATTTTCCGGACATTTTCCACATGAACCCGAACATTTTCGATAACATTTTCTTTACAATTTTTTTTTTATAGGGTTGGTGAGTGAGTATTATTTGTTATCTCAATGTTTATTGTTACTCAAAAATTGTTTTTATTATTAATTATTTTATTTTATTTTATTTAATGTATTAATTACTACTTGATAACTGATATTTCTCAATCTATAATTAGCGTAATTAACATCAATACAGTATAACAATTATTCATATGCTAATAAATCAAAAAGATAAATTTATGAATAAGATTTAAAATATATGAAAACAAACTATATTGTATAATCATACGCTTCAATATATATCACAAATCTTAATGTTAATCGGGGACTTCGAAATGTAATCTATGAACTGAAAACTGTCTAACGATAAATCTCGCAAATATTAATTGAGGAAATTTACAAAGTACTATCAAAATATTAATTAAAATAATGTATTATTTTCATGGAAAATAGCAAAATCTGACGAAATTTGAAGTTGCATGATATGTTTATGGCTTTCAAACAATTTAAAATTATTTATTATGCAGCGTTATTGCTATTTTATTCTTTATAATATGACCTATAACATACTTATTTTAAAATTTATTTTTTGTTTCCATTTCAATGGTTCTTAAGCAAATTATTTATAACCGTTGTTTTAAATATTACAATATTTCCTATATTTTATTCCTTTCATCACTTGTTCAACATAATTTATCCCTTAAGAATTTGGTATAGTAGTGAAAGAAATTTGGTTTGCGAAATTAGCTCTTCGGTATTTTAAGAACATATACCAAAATAATAATAATAAATATAGAACTGAAAATATTTACCTATATTCAATGTAGCAGTCCGAATGCTATCAAAAATCCTAAGAAAAGAATAAATTTAAAGAAAATAAAATAAAGACATTATATTGATTTGACTCAGAGCCCAAATGCAATAGAAAATTTAAGATAAGAATAAATTAAAACAAAATTAAAATAAATAAAATATCTATATTAATTTAACACAGTGAGAAATAGAATAAATTAAAAAAATTTTCTTAATTCGACGCAGAAGTTCAAAAACAGCAAAAGATTATCGATTTTTAGGCGGATTTTTTAGTGTCAGGGCGCAGCTTCGAATCGGGAACTTTTTTTTTTTCTTTTATTAAGCCTAGCATCAAGCATAAGTAAAACATAAAGTCAAAAAATTATTCGGAAATTCATACAGTTTCCAAATAAAGTTAAGCAATTCGTCAAAAGCTTTCTGCATTCTTCTCTTATGCTATTAATATATGTATTAATTTAATTAAAAAAAATTTAGTGGATTTTTAAAAAAATATCGGTTTCTCATGCAAAAGTTTATATAATCGAGGTTTTGCAATGATTGTGATTTATATATCAAAATATCAATCGGGATTTGGTGTCATTTGGGATAATGCAATTTCGGGATAAAGTGAATTTCAGGATAAAGTTTTCAGGTATTAGATTCGGGATTATGTACATTCTGTATTTTGATCTTCGGGATTTTCGTTCACTCCAATTCAATTTTAAATGGTTTAAATTATTATTAAAACAAAAATTGCAATACAATTTGAAATAATATCTTAAAAATTAGAATTGCTTTATATTCTATTATGTACTGATCTGTCTAATAACCTTTTTAATTTTTACTAGATATTAAATAATCATATACTTCTTTTATTATAAGTTAGATTGTTTTTAATGAAACGCATGATAATGCCATTCATATGTTTCAAAGTATATTACTTTTAACGGTCTTTATATGAAAAAAAAAGAGGTAACATTTTTAAAAGTTCATATGATTAACTTATACATTTTCGTAACTACCGGTGACTTTTGGTGGGGTTATATAATTTATTCAAGAATTCTTTCATTTAAAACCTGATGCTTCCAAGTCACCATGAAGCTGCTGCGTTTGTTCATTATCATAATATTTTAAAACATTGATTACCTTTACAACTTGTAAAGCAAACTGAATTGGGAAATAAAAAAAAATTTATAATAAATGTTTTTTATATGTAATATTCAAATAATTTCACTCGGCTGGATAAATCAGACATTTACATTAATTTCAAATAATCAGCGCTTATTCAAAGGGGTAGGGAAGATTGGAAACTAAATTTAATAGGTGATTTGAAATACAATGGTTATACAAGAATTTAAGAAATATTATTACTTAATGAGTTCGATACACCACTAAAAAAGAAATGAGGATAAATTTAATATATACATATTTCAAATTAAATAATAAAATTGAATTCTGCGCGTACCTCATCATTGCCACCAAGTCTTTCGCTATGACAAGCAACTTCTTGAAATGTATCATTTTCAATAGTAAAATGAAAATCATGACTACGTAAATATACTTGTCGACTTTTATAATAAAATGAATTAAGATGAATGACATCATTTGATTTCAAATATCCTTGATAATTTTCTAATTTACTATTATTAAACTTCCAACAATTATACTGGTAGCAAATGTTTGATTTACAACTTACTAAATAAATAATACATCAATATTAAACCTTTATTTTAAATAAAATATAACAAAAATTAATAACTACCTTCGATGTGTTGAGTTACTGGAGAAGTGTTCCATTCATTAACTCCAAGAAAGATATTAGAATTTTTGTGTAGTAAAGAAATATAAGTATAATTATCGGTGTATGAAGCCAATTCTTTACCGCTCGTAAATGTGATTTTCCATAAAGCATTCGAATCAAGCAAATTGCTCGCAAAAACCTAAATTTATTAAATTCATTATAGATTAATAATAAAAAAATTTCACAAAATATCTATAATATGGAATACCAATTGAGACTTGCTTCACGTCGTATAACATGAGTTGTTAATTGAACTTAAATATTTTCTTGTAGATACGTGTTTTAAAGTTACAATAGATCCATTTCTGATTAAATTTGACTCATTCATAACAATTTCCTCAAATTCTTTAATTAATTCATTTATAGTATCAATTTTTTCATTACGCCTTAAAAATTCAGTTATAAAATAATCATTTGGAAGAGAAAAAAGTAGGTATTTATTTTGTATCTCAATATCGTTAATTTCAGCATTGTAACATAATTTGCGAAAATTTGAAATAAATTTTGAAGTTTCTCCGCCTTCCCTTTCAGGAATGTATTTTAATAATCGCAATTTCCTTAAATTTGTATTTTTGAATACTGTAAAGGAAATGTCATCCTTAAGTGCGCTACAAAGTTTTTCAAAACTATTAATACTACT